CATAACATTGACATGCGTAGCTAATACTATAGCGCACAAGAGCTATAATTGAATAAAGTGGTCAGCAACCTCCCAACCAACAAACGTACTAAATATTCTGACACAGGACTATATTTCAAAATCAGAACCAGCTGAAGTCACAGGTACATATGTGTACAATCATAATTTAACTTACATTACATAAATGTATAGCATAAAATTTCAATACCGTTATATTAATAACAAAAATTAGATTTTAGGAATTTCAGCTTAAATGAATTATTTCTAATTTGGAATAATTTTTGAAACCTCCCCTTAACTGACTGATATACAATATATAATGATTATTAAACTTAGTACCAGTTTAAAGGGATAACATCATTATAATTATTTGCATACACATTTGTAAAGAATTAAGTTCTTTGGATTGTCAAGTGGCCAATGTTATACAAAACTAAATTTAAATATAAATTTAATAAACAAAACAAAAGTAAAGTAAATTCAACATAAATGAAATAATGAAATGAATACATGCAAATGTAACTAAATAAACACACACAAAACAGAACTAAATATAATGTTATGAAATAAACAAAATGAAGTTAAACAATTACAGTCCGCACACCTCCATCCACTCTGCACACTTCCCGGTAAAGGTTGAACGTTGCACGTACTGTAGAATAACTTTGGATTGTTCCCCTTGAATTTCTTTTAATATAAAACGGACAGAAAATAACTATTTTCACACATTTTTGGTTGATTCTAAATTGATGAAAAGAACACTAGATTTTATACTTTTACTGCAATGATAACTTCAATGAGCAATGACGACTTGAAACTATAAATACTGCACGGACTGCTCGATTCGTTTAACATATATTTAAACGGACTTCTTTGTATATTTATAACGGATATTTTCACCGACTCCAGGCGTTGTAATTGATATCAGCAAACATCGAGTTGTAACCATATTACTAATAATACCCTTTGTATCTCCGACACCATATATCACCGACCAGTTGACGGTATTTACTACGTGCTGTACGCACACCAAAACCGGGCCTAAAAACCCCTGCAAAATAAATATTGAACCCAAAAATTACTTACTTTATCTATACATTTGCATGATACAGCAATTATTCCGACATTCTGGACCGCGAGTAAGAAATATCATCTCGACGGCAAAATAGACCTCAATGAACGATATAAATAAGTAAAAATGTCTTACCTGAGTGTTGTAATAATAAGCCTTGGGATATCCATGTCCTAAACTGACAATTATAATACCCAAATGCTACTTTTACCAACTCTAGGCTCCGCACAAGCGTGTGCTTTATTCAATGGCCATGTGTCGACTGATTTCAAACTCACCTGTGAAATTTCAATAGGTGCCTAATCACGTGATACACATGAAAGGTCTGCTTGACTATATAGTCCGGTGTTAACGAAAATAAGCCCTAACATAAAATATAGTCCTAAGTGAAATAGATATATATAAATAAATAAATGGAGTTTGTTACAAACGTCCCTTTCCTGAAGACTAAAAGCACATTTTAGTCCAACCAGACTAACAAACTCCAAAACAAATCTGAAATAAACTATATCAGGTATATATGACAATATATGTACCTATCAACCTATATAAAATTAAAAAAAAACGTAAAACTTTAGTAGCATTCTAGTAACACTCAGGGGTCATCTAAATATCATCACATCTAGATAATACATCTGCAACAATGTTCGTCCTGCCTGCAATGTAACAAATAGTAAAAGTAAATTCCTGAAGTATCAAACTCCAACGGAGTAACCGTTGGTTACTGGTTTTCATCCTCTGTAGCCACTGTAAAGGAGCATGATCAGTACAAATAGTAAACTCTTTACCCTCAAGATAATTCCTTTACATCTTTACCGCCCAAACTATGGCAAAACACTCTTTTTCTACCACTGCATAGTTACACTCAGCTCCAGAAAGTTTCTTGCTGATAAACATGATTGGACGCCTTCCGTCGTCAAACTCCTGTTCCAATACAGCACCTAGACCCTTCCCTGACGCATCAGTCTTAGGTACGTCACTAAAGATGTCATCGTATTCATTCAGTAGTTCTTTTAAATGTTGGTTTTCTTCGTCTGTTAACTCTGGTAATATTTTGACGTCATCTGCACTTTCTTTTCTTTTCAACACAGGAGTTATAGCTGTAGACATCTCATTATCATCTGTACTGTCATCTGTGCTAAGACCTGAAATTAAATTTAAGCACGCAGCAATATCTGTTGGAACACTATTATCAATATTATTATCTACCCTTTCATGCCATAACTTCAACATATTCACATGAAATACTTTGTCCTTTCCTCTGACCCTAATTTTATAGTCAACAGGACTAACTTTGTCAGTTACTACAAACGGTCCTTTCCAACTTGCTATCAGTTTTGATGTATGTGTAGGTAGTAATATTAGCACCTTCTGGCCAACTTCTAACTTTCTGTCTCTAGATTTTCGGTCATAGTACAATTTTTGTCTCTGTTTTGCTTTCTTTTCATTTTCATTTGCATACTCAGCCATTGTTCTCATCTTTTCTCTTGTTTCTAACAAATAACTCAATACAGAGTTTTGACATGTACTTGGCTCTTCCCATTCCTCTTTAAGTACTGCAAGAGGACCTCTAATGTGTCGACCGTATAACAATTCAAATGGTGAAAAACCAGTGCTCTCATTTGGCACCTCTCTGTATGCAAATAATAAGTAGGGGATATATTCATCCCATGTTTGTGGCTTTAATCGTGCATATGCTTTCAGCATTTTCTTCAAAACGCCATTGAACTTTTCACAAAGTCCATTACACATTGCATGATAAGGACTAGTACGTAACTTACTTATTTGTAATAGTCTACATACCTCAACCATCAGTTCTGACATAAAGTTACTGCCTTGGTCTGTTAACAGCTCCTTTGGTATGCCAACCCTAGAAAATAAACTTATAAGAGCATTTGCAACTGTACCAGCTTCCTGGTCTTTCAAAGGAATCGCCTCTGGATATTTAGTGGCGTAATCAATGCAAACTAAAGCATAACGGTTCTTGCTATCAGTCATAGGTAAAGGGCCAATAAAATCAAAAGCAATGCGCTGGAATGGCTCATCAATAGGTGGTATGCTTATCAATGGAGCTCTTGGTACTCTACCTTTAGATGTACCTATCTGACAATCAGGACAAGACCTGCAGTACTCTGCAATAGCATTAAAAATACCTGGCCAGAAAAAGTGTTGCATGATTCTGTCTCTTGTCTTCTTGTTCCCCAGATGACCTGCTAATGGTATGTCGTGTCCCAATGAAAGAACAGTCTCCCTCAGCTGTCGTGGTAATACAATCTGCTGGATAACTTCTCCGCTTGGCTTCGTATACACTCTATAAAGTAAATCTGAATAATACATAAAATACGATTCATGATTTTGATGGTCTTCACCTACATATGATCGTACCTTATTCAAGGCCTCATCTGTCTTCTGTAACTCTATAAGCTGCTTCCTGTCACAAATCTTAAATTCACTAGTAATCTCTGAAAAATCTATAGAATGAGATATAGGTGTATCGCAACTACGCTGAACTGCTGTCCTGTCTATCATCCTATCTTCTACATCTTGCTTCTTCCTTTGAGATCTAGTCTCAATTGCATGACAAGGGACAGCATCATCTGAAACAAAAATATCTTCACCTCGTGTCACATGTACTTCATCCATACTATGTGGTACTGATGTGTTCACATAGTTTCCAACTATAAGATCTGCGAACGGTGTATCTAAAATCAATGCAATAATATCCCCTGAAATATAAGGAGTAGAAACATTAATGTACACCTCTTGACACTGCTTCACCGTACCGTCTGCTAAGCAAATATCTCTAGTCTGACCTGTTAAGAAATCTGCATTAGTAAACCTGCTATGAACAAACACAGTAGAACAACCTGTATCTCTCAAAACAGAGACTTTGTCACTGTTAATCTCACCTTCAACTATATCAAGTCCATGTACCTGTACCTTGTTGCCATTGCATGAAACTCCAGGCAATTTAACAGTCACTTTATGGTCCTGCTGAGCCTGTATGCACAAACCAAACTTACCTGTCTTAAACGTTTCCCCTGTTGATTGGTTTGTCCTTGCAGGACAATTTGTTGCTATATGGCCTATGTTTTTTACAAATAAAACAAGTCCTAGTCTCTGTGTTTGGTTTCTTTTGGGAATTCTTACCTTGATGTTTAGACTGCTCTGTATAATCTGAATGTTGTTTGGAACTTACCTGTTCACTCTTGTGAGCTTGTTGAAACGCCTCTGCTTTATCTACCAATTCGTCGACCGTTTTTGGTTTTTGTTCCTTGATCCAAAGTTTCAGCTCTTTACTACAACTTACCATCAACTGTTCTCTAGTAACTAAATCAACAAATTTATCAAAATCAGTGCCTATCGCTTCACGCTCTATCCAATGCCTAAGAAACCCTACCAGTCTTACTGCAAATTCCTTAAATGACTTTAAAAAAACATCCGGGTCGTCACCTTCCTTAAACTTGGGAAGTTTTGACTTCAAATTTGACTTGCCCTGGGGTTGCACTACCCCCTGTGTCAGCTCTTTGTCCCTAAGCTCTAACTCTTTTAATCGTACCTCTCTTTCCATCTCTACCTTTCTCATCTCTCTCTCTGCCGCTCGCTCTTCCCTCTCTGTAGCCTGCATGTTTCTTAACAGTTCCAAACATGTCTCCACCTTCTCTCCCTTCTCTAGTAAATCTGAAACCCAAGCGGGTAATCCACTTGTCATGCTGCACAATACAAATAATAATAAATCAAAGTAAATGTAAATGATAACAAAAATAATAATCACAAAATTCAAATAAAATGTTCAACAAAAATGTTCCCTCTTGTAAGTTTGACAATGTTCCTAATATAACAATTGACACAGTGACAATCCCACCGCTGCCACCATTGTGAAGAATTAAGTTCTTTGGATTGTCAAGTGGCCAATGTTATACAAAACTAAATTTAAATATAAATTTAATAAACAAAACAAAAGTAAAGTAAATTCAACATAAATGAAATAATGAAATGAATACATGCAAATGTAACTAAATAAACACACACAAAACAGAACTAAATATAATGTTATGAAATAAACAAAATGAAATTAAACAATTACAGTCCGCACACCTCCATCCACTCTGCACACTTCCCGGTAAAGGTTGAACGTTGCACGTACTGTAGAATAACTTTGGGTTGTTCTCCTTGAATTTCTTTTAATATAAAACGGACAGAAAATAACTATTTTCACACATTTTTGGTTGATTCTAAATTGATGAAAAGAACACTAGATTTTATACTTTTACTGCAATGATAACTTCAATGAGCAATGACGACTTGAAACTGCATAATACTGCACGGACTGCTCGATTCGTTTAACATATATTTAAACGGACTTCTTTGTATATTTATAACGGATATTTTCACCGACTCCAGGCGTTGTAATTGATATCAGCAAACATCGAGTTGTAACCATATTACTAATAATACCCTTTGTATCTCCGACACCATATATCACCGACCAGTTGACGGTATTTACTACGTGCTGTACGCACACCAAAACCGGGCCTAAAAACCCCTGCAAAATAAATATTGAACCCAAAAATTACTTACTTTATCTATACATTTGCATGATACAGCAATTATTCCGACATTCTGGACCGCGAGTAAGAAATATCATCTCGACGGCAAAATAGACCTCAATGAACGATATAAATAAGTAAAAATGTCTTACCTGAGTGTTGTAATAATAAGCCTTGGGATATCCATGTCCTAAACTGACAATTATAATACCCAAATGCTACTTTTACCAACTCTAGGCTCCGCACAAGCGTGTGCTTTATTCAATGGCCATGTGTCGACTGATTTCAAACTCACCTGTGAAATTTCAATAGGTGCCTAATCACGTGATACACATGAAAGGTCTGCTTGACTATATAGTCCGGTGTTAACGAAAATAAGCCCTAACATAAAATATAGTCCTAAGTGAAATAGATATATATAAATAAATAAATGGAGTTTGTTACAACATTTTAACAATAGCAAGAATAGGAAATATGTACAGCATTTATAAAAATACACCCTTGGGGTTAGTTGTTAAAATGCCTTCGTATATCTACATGAATAATGTTCGACAGACGAACTACAAACTGTTGTAAAATTGTTTTTATAGTATGCGTAAAAACTATACCAATGTAACCCGCATTAATTTGTATTTTACATATTTTAAGTGTACCATATGTTGTTTAATAAACTAACGGTACTCAGTTCATATTTATTGCTGATAACTACATTGAACATGATGAATTTACACGATTTGGAATAGTTAGAATGTGTATTCACTCGCTTTGAATTGATAATTATTCTATCCAGTACCCATTTATACATAAAAGGACACGATAAAACGAGTACTTGTTGTTATCGTTTTAAATATCCAATTGGAATTTCAAGGTAAAGCGAAATCTTTTTTTTTTTATTTACATACGAATTCGTGGAAACGTATTTTGGCATAGAACCACTTATTCGGGCCAGGTCAGAGAGAACATACAAGAAAGTAGTACATATTTTAAAAAATTCAGTTCCTACGCATAGCTGTTTCTTTCCAATAGGTAAACAAATTAGTAATAGTGGTATCAAAATAAAGTTTAAGGACATGGGATCACTTAAGAACCATTATTGACAAATTGCGTTGTCGGTTTGTTTCCGACTTATGGGTTTGAATGTCCCTTTAGTATCTTTCGCCTCTCTTTTACAATTATACTAATTTTAATCAACATTGGTCTCATTTGTGTTAGTAATCATGTTTCTTTTTATGAAAAATTATGTTGTGTCAAATTACAGCCCTAACATTGCTACTAAAGTATATTTTAGCCTTTTTTTTGTCATTTAGCATGCATATATTCTAGACATGGCCTGAAGTATCGAATTAGGCATCATTTAGACTGAAATCAATAAAACATGTTTAATATGACTGGTGTCAAAGATGCAACAACCCGACCACAGACCAGAAAACAGCCCAAGGCCACCAATGGGTCTTCAACACATCGAGAAATTCAAGCATCCGGAGGCGGGCTTCAGCTGGCCCCTGAACAATAGTGTATACTAGTTTAGCGAAAATGGACGTCATACTAAGCTCCGAAACATATAATTGAACCAACATTTAAAAAAACCTACAAGACTAACAAAGGCCAGAGGTTCCTGACTTGGGACGGCGGGGTTAAACATGTTTCGTGAGATATCAACCCTCCCCTATACCTCTAGCCAATGTAGAATAAACAAACACACAGCAATACGCATAGTAAAATTCAGTTCAAAAGGAGTCAAATTCCGATGTTATAATAGGTAACAAAAGAAACTTAGCAAAATGACAATAATTAACATAAATTAACAAAGGACTACTAGCAGTTACTGACATGCCAGCTCCAGACCTCAATTAAACTGATTTAAGGATTATGTCTTCATCATATGAAAATTAAGCACAATTCCTCCCGTTAGGGGTTTAATATCATACCATTATAAAATATACGAGAATATATATATATATATCCAAATTTTCCAATATAACCATTGGCCAATATTTCAGAGAGTATGCTACATAATAAATTATTCTTTATCTGTCCTGTATCTTATATATATAATTGGGTGTAATTTTCAGACTTATATATATATATATCCAAATATATTTAATGTTAGACAGTTTAACAATGTAATTTTAACACGCTATTTAGAATGTAAACATGGTTAATATTAAAATGTTAAAAACATTTACAATGCGATAAAAAAATAAACGTAATATTTCGCTAGACAAGCTATAGCTTCATCGATCGTGCATCTATCTAGGTGAAATCGGATGCAAAATAGAAACTTTTGCAGCTTATTGTACATTGAATTTTGCTGCCTAATAAATAAATTCAAATTTGGATGAAGTTCAAGATTATTTATTTATCTAATAGCAATTCTCTGTAACTACCAACCAAGTTGCGGCACGCATAGTCTTAGATTGTTTGAAATTTTGTTTGTTGGTAGCTATCGACAAACATGTAAGAAATATATTGACAACACATTTGTCTATGTCCCCTTTGTCATGATTTTGGCTCAAAATTGCATTTTTTGAGGTAGAAAAATTACCATTTTGAGGCAGTTATAATGCACACATTACATTTTAGATGAATATTGTAACATTTGTTCATTGAAATATAACATTTAATTAGTTAGATAACAGATAAACAATAATTCTAAAATGAAAAGAGAAGAAAGTAGCAACACTGATTAAAATTACGGAGTTTTCATTGTATTCAAGAAGGCAAATTATAGGCACTTTGCATGAACTTATTACACACTTTTGCATCCACACCCATATACATTGAAGTTTTGTTATGTAAAGTAACACTGTTGCCTAGTAATAATTTATAACTAAAAGTTTGGGATTCAGGTTGCCAGGGTGGTTGACAATGGGAACCTAAAAGTGATATTTTTGTTATTTTGTAAAACTATTTTAACCTTGTTATGTAAATATCTCATAAACTATGAAAAATAAAGGATGAAAAGTAATTGAAAGATGTTGCACATTCAATGACCTTAGTTTGATCCAAAGGTCAAAGGTTATTGAATACCTTGACCTTTGACCCTGAGTCTTTTTTGTTAGATTTTGTCAGAAATGGTTACAAATATATACCAATACTTTAAAAAGAAAAAATGTTCAGAACGATTACAGCATTTTTTGGTACCAAGGTTGAATGCCAGAGGTCAAGGTCGTGTCAGAATTTCTGAGCAACGACCCTTACTTGATATAAAAGTACCTAGCAACAATACATATAGATCCTTATTGAAAGGTGAGGGGTCAATATCTTTACAAAAAACTTAAGTAGCCATTCTCTTATTGTTGGAAATGTCTAGCAATCATCAATGTTTTGATCTCTTCTGACAAAATTCGGAAATTTTGGAACTAAATTGTAGTTATTTCTTTCAATTAGAATGTCAAATTCCTTTTAAGAACAGAAATGATTTACTGACATGATTTTACTCATGTGTATTTCAGTTAATCATCAGCCATGTTGTCTCCTGTTCTGACTTAAAACATCAGAGATATTTGTGTGTGTATTTAGTGTTCATGAAACTTTAAATCATTCGAAATAAGTACTAAGGCTATTTTTCCAGGCATAAATATAGGTTTACAACAAGGGGGCAAGTGGTCAATATCGTCCCAGTAGTCTTTTGTAGCCATTCTCATATCGTGGAAAATGCCTAGCTACCATCAACTTTTGTAATGATGAGGATAAGATGTAGAACAAATCTTTCTGATCATGATTCAAAGATCTTTCCTTTAAACTCACCTAACTCTTAGTCTTAAGAGCTTTATGGGGTTATACAAACACTCGGCATTCGTCATCATTTTGTACATTATTCGTCTTAAATATTTCCCTTAGAAACTGCATAATCAAATGTTATTAAACTTAAAAGTAATAATGCATAGCATATCTTGTTGCCACATGATAAAATTATGGCTGGTAGAGGTAATAATAGAATAAAAGGTAGGTGTTGGTATATCTTAACTGTTTAAGAACAGAAATTAAATGTCAGCTCTAAGCAAATTTTACAGCTATTTTACTTGAAAACATTTTTAGATTGAAAATCACAAAGTTACTTAAAATTACTTAAAACGACGATTTTTACCAAGTTTTTTTTAGTGGCCTGGTCTACAGGGTAAATTAAGATTTTCTTATCCCTTGCCATCCGCCATCTTTGTCTGTAAAATTGAACAAAAGTCTGGTTCTCTGCAATTACTGGGCAACTAAAACTTCTCATTCTTATGATATATAGATAAAAAAAAACATCTGAAGGGAAATAAATACACTATTATATAGAATACAGGACACTGTTGAAAAAAAATAGATTTTGCGTTTTTGCTTGAAATTTTTTTCTGATTTTATTGTATCAATTTTACGCAAACAACCAGGTGAATGATACCCTATACTTGGAGCATCGGATAGAAAGTAATTTAGCATATTTAAATTATTTGTATTGAAAACCTTTGTCAATAGATGGAAAATTTAATAGCAAAAACCCCGCTCGTGCGGGTGCACTCGAATCCAATCTTAATTGACTAGGATTGTCAGTTTTCCTATCGAAGGTCGGTGGTTTTCTCCGGGCACTCCGGCTTCCTCCATCAATAAAAACTGGCCGCCACGAAACCTCCATCAATAAAAACTGGCTGCCACGAAATAGCCTAAAAGCGGTGCTTAAAAGTGGCGTTAAAACACCAAAAAATCAAATCAAGTAATAGCAAAAATTTCAAACGAGAAAAATTAATCAACAACAGACGGAAATTGTCTATTGACTCAATATAGGCGTTATGTCCTTAAATGACGACTGTTAACCATTTCTAAGTCTAATTAAAGGTAATCTTGAAACTGCAATAAATCGAGAAAAACTTCATACAACAAAATTGATTAGCCAGACAAGATCTACAAGAAAGTCAAATCTGTCATGAATCATCAGTCAACTTCTCCCGTCTAACGATGATTGTATCCTTTGTGTTTTGCTAAAACTTGTGGCCGATAAAGAGGAACTGTACACAGCTAAAACAATCAGCAAAAACAAGTGTTTGAAGCACGTGTCCTGTCAATGTCAATATCTAACATGCATTTCACCGGAAACACAAGTTAAATAACAAAAGATTTCATAATTGGTTGTCTTTTATTTAAACGAAATAGGATTCGAACTTTAAATAGTGCAAATGGTTAGAAAGAAAGAAAAAATAACAGTTATATATATTTTCATAATTGTATTTAAAAAGGATAAATTCATATGAAAATGCAAGATTTCAAGGTGTAGAATACAGTAACTAATTGAAATCAGATACTGGTTTTTATATCGAATACATTATGTAGAGAGATTTTTTTTCTCACCCATTTGTATTTCCCCTGGTAAATGGGATATGTAAAATAAAAGCATGGACATAGACTGCATAGGAATTATGTGTTCAAGGTGATTTGAAATAAAAGATATTATTCATGCAAAAAA